CCAAAATTGGTTGGCGACCAAATTCAGAGGGGTCAGAACGGATTAACCATATTTACATTGAACCTTATGGGGAAATTTGATTCGGGACGTGACCAAAATTGGTTGGCGACCAAATTCAGAGGGGTCAGAACGGATTAACCATATTTACATTGAACCTTATGGGGAAATTTGATTCGGGACGTGACCAAAATTGGTTGGCGACCAAATTCAGAGGGGTCAGAACGGATTAACCATATTTACATTGAACCTTATGGGGAAATTTGATTCGGGTCGTGACCAATTTGGGTCTCAACCAGAGTCGCAGAACGAATTAAGTTCGTGAACCAAGGTACCACTGTATGTGAACCCAGTGTCCTTAAAAGCCCTGACTGTGGTTTCAGCAAGATGGCTTTCCCTTGTCTCCCAGAGCCCTAAACCCACCAGAGACCCCTGTCCTGTGGTCTCCTTGCAAGGAGCACTTGTGGGCAATCGCAAGTCCTCTTCTTGTCTGGAGAGGAATTACGAAGAGCTGGACTACTTGTTGGCTCTTCATTCTGCTGCGCTTGTCAAGTAGAGCTGTCTTCAGTTCTCCATTTCTTTCCTGGAAGTCATCATTCCTGATGATATCCCAGGGGACAAAAAAGGACAAATATTCTGTTAAGAAAATAGACTCTTCCGTTTGATTGATTGATTTTTTAAGAAATTCTCCCCCAAAACAGTAGCCCATGCTTCTATCGTTTCTTCTTGGTCAATTGTCAGACGGCTTTTAAATATTATTATTTACAGGTAACTATCATAGAAAAAATAATCCTTTCTCACTGAACTCTGTAATTTATCTCTGTTTTGTTGGTTCTGTTTCCTCAATCTAGCAAAGTCCCTCATGGCTGGCTGCCAAACTGATTATAAGATTTAGTTTTAATTTCAGCCTGCTGTAGACAAAGAGACAGACTGTGTTTTTTTTTTTTTTAAGTATGATTTTATTAGTCATGAAAGACACTGAGATTTATCTTGGGAAAACGTGTTGAAAATAAACCATGATGCATAAATCATTTTAAATTTAAGACTGGATTTTTCAACTGTATATGCTATAACTGTCTGGCTTTCTGTGTACAAAATGGGCTCTTGCTTCAAATTTCGCTTCCCCTCCTTCCTCTGCATATGTTTATATTTTCTCTTGGGTTTTCCCCAGCCATAACTCTTGTGCCAGTCTACTACATTTTGTAAAAATACTGAAATAGTATTTGAATTTGTATTTCTTTCTTCCAAACTATTTTTTAAAATAAAAAAATAGCATAGGTTCTCTAGTGTAATGATTGTACATTGTAATTTTGCAGAAGAAGTATATTTACTTAAGCTGTAGAAAATCTGTACAATGTCTGTTCATTGATGTATGGTCTTAATATCATTTTGAATGGTGGGATTGCACAAGTAGTACAAACCACTTACATAGCCAAATTGCAGAGAGCGCCTGTCTTGCCATCAGTTATCCTCTGTTTATTATGTTTGGACAGTGGAGTTGCCAAGGCATGGAGCCAGGCTTATTTTGGAGAAGGCTCGGGTCCTGTGCTACTGGATGAGGTACGCTGTACAGGAAATGAGTTGTCTATAGAACAGTGTCTAAAGAGTTCCTGGCAAGAACACAACTGTGGCCATAAAGAAGATGCAGGAGTTTCATGCACACCCCTGGAAGGTAGATAGAAAAAGAATCACTTTTCTGAACTACAGTCAGTGCACGGATTAAGGTTAATGGACACAAACTGGTTGAATACCTTTTGACATAGTTCAACAGTACAGAAGGTGACACTCCTTAGTGCAGATCAAAGGCCTCATTCTGGCTTCTAGAATGTTTTGGCCACATTTAACAACAAGCACGAAGGGAAGTACCTGGGTCTGATGAGGCAAAAGACTTATCTTTCTCAATGTAACATAATTGCAGAGACTGTATATAGAAATTATGCATCAGCATCTATGAACAACTCTGCAACTTCTGTTTATCTTCCTTTAGCATATCTTGTACTTATCCTAAACATTTTTAAGCACCTGTTGATTTTTTAAAGGAGGATTTGCTTCCTTAAAAGTTTCCTGTCACTTGGAAATTGAAATTACTTAGTAGTGGAGTAGCTCCTGTTCTGTGAAGTATGAAGAATGTCAAGGATTCAGAGCCAAGATTGCACACGAAGAAGCACCTGCTATTTATTCTAAAAACACTCTGGTTTTCCTTAAGTAAGACTCTTTTGTGTCTTACTTAACCCAATTAAGATCCTTGGGCAGTGTAGAGTGGGGAGTGAAAGGACATTTGTTTGTGTGGGATTTAAGAGAGCATAGAAAGACACAAGTTAAGGATATAGCTTTGTCTCTCTTTTTTCCTTCTTTTGTCTATACAGTTTTGTTGCGTAGCTTGTGAGCCCCTGGGATAAGGAATTACACCTTTTATATTTCTATAATAATAATCATGCAGAGGTGCCTCGGTAGGACTAATTACAAATAAAGCAAATGTTCTGTAATTTTATTAACATATTTATATGTACAGCAGGAAACTGAATATCAGAGTGTCCTTCAACCTTCTGTTTTCCATTTAAATGTTGAAAATAGTTATTAGCTAGGCTTATAGCTGCTCTATTTCGTAGTGTGGTTTCTTTTCTCCAATAGTTATCTATTAAAATAAATTCTTGTTTTGAATGCCACAGATGGTGCAGTCCGACTAGTTGCTGGGAAAGGCAATCATGAGGGACGGCTGGAGGTGCTTTATAATGGACATTGGGGCACAGTCTGCGATGATGGATGGACTGAATGGAACACGCAGGTGGTTTGTCGGCAACTGGGCTTTATGTAAGCTCCATTTATGTGAAGCTGTGAATGACTATGCAGAGCAACGCTGATAATACTTCAGTGTATTGCACCTGGTTTGTTTCTTTGCTTTCTGATTAAAATCTGCTCGTTTAATACCATGTCCTTGGAGAGGTACAACAAAGGACAGTGCAAGTTAATGAAAAAATGCTAACCTGGTTGGAAAAAAAATGGCCAGAATTATTATGTTTATTCATTTATTTTTGCAGCATGAACTGTAATTCAGCTTGTCCTCTCTGTATTGGAAGTTCCAATAAATGAATAATTTGTCATGAGAATATTGAGATTCTAATATAAACACAGAGATTGATATCATAATTGGGGAAATACAGACCTAAGAATTGCTTTGTCTTGGACAAGCAATCTGGACAGTTGTAAAATCATACGTTGTTTCCTGCAATCCAGTCTTCATATTGCATAGATTCCAAAATGTTGAACTCTGATTGACCCTCACCGTGTTCATACATCACTCTAAGGCATAATACGATTTATTTCATTTTGGCTTAAAAGCATAGTGTGCGATCCCAGCTATTTTCATTTACAAGTCATGGTTTATGGCTTAGCATGATGTATGAACCCAGCCAATTGCAGTTTATTCAATAGATTGTTGCTAGCAGTCTTGACTTCTGGCTAGCTAGATCACTGATTTAATGCTTAAGTGTTTAGACCAGCAGATAAAATTCGCAATGCAGAAGAAAGGAATGAGGAGAGGGTATACATGTGGTTAATTTAATTTAATGTATTAGATTTATGAACATAGATCAAAGGAGTAATTAAGCCACCAGTAGCATTACATTTATAGCTGTTACTGGGGTGAAATATGTAATTCTTCATATGGTGTTAGAATGTTGATTTTGAGCCTTAATAAATATAACCATGGATTCTACCAATAAGTCTAATTTCAAAGTGATAAAAATTGAACAATATTTATTCAAAACACAACAGATTTCAATGAAACCAAGACTGATTATAGAATATATTTATACTATATAGTATAGTATATATTGGAATTTTTTACACAAATGTGTATTACTTTTAATGCTGAACTATTGTCTTTTTGTAATTATATGAGTGCTAATCTCTCTGTAAACAGGAATGGGAAAATTGTTTCAGAAGGCTACCTAGAAGAAAATACAGGACCCATCTGGCTGGATGACATTACCTGCTCTGGAAAAGAAGCTAGCATCCTGCAGTGTTCTAAGGGGGAATGGGGACAGCATGATTGCAGCCACCAGGAGGATATTAGTATAAGTTGCTATCGAGATAATGACAGCCACAAAGTCTTGTTAGGTAAGCTGCCTTTTGTACATGGAAGTCTGGTTCTAAAATATCAAGGGTGCTTTGTAGCATTTTTTGGGGAGGTTGGAAAATTAGTCTGAAAATCAGGTGTCTTCCAGTTGTGTTGAAATTATAGCTCTTGGAATTCTCATTCCTCCTGGAGTTTCTTTCCCATTGCATTTGGCGAGCACCAGGTTGGGAAAGCAAATGATTGGCAAGCAGAAGTCTCCATTTCAATCACTGGATTTTCCAATTAAATAAGAGAGCCCTTACCTAGCCCATTGGAGGTACGTTTTGATAAAATAATATTGAGCAAGATGGATCAAGACTGGGTTTGATATAAGATAACTTTGTATGCATAACTGGAAAGCAGCGCATCCAACTGTGGGCCACACAATAATTGGTTGTGTATCCTTGAATTAGGAAATATTAAAAATTAATACATCCAAGCAAAATATCAAAGTATCCCTCCAAAATATTAAGATCTAATCCCAACATGAACGCTGGACAGAACAATTGCTCAGTTGGGGAAAAGTTTTGATAAGTAAATGGTTATTTTAGACTTTTTGAAAAGCTGGCAGTAATGGGACCTGACAACTTCCAGTGGCCATGCATTGCAAGTATAGGGCAACACTGAGAGCCAATATGGTGTGGTGGTTATGGTGCTACACTGGGAACTGGAAGAGCCATGTTTTAGTCTACCCTTAGACACAGAAGCTGGATGACTTTAAGCTTTCGCTTAGCCCAGCCTATCCCACAGGGTAGTTGCTGTGGGAAAAATAGGAGGGAGCACTGTGTATGCCATGTCAAACCCCTTAATGAAACACATGATATAAATCAAATAAAATACAGAAAAGACTCTCTGGTTTCTTCTAACTACCTTACAGTTCTCAAATGTAGCAAAAGATTAGAGTTTAAAAATCTGCAGACACTATTAGGGCAACTTAGTGTGTGATCATCTCTTACCTAATAAAGACATCTGTTGAATATTTCTTAATACTACAGCTGTATCTTCAAGCATATTGTTAAAGAATTAAGTGTACTATAAGATTGAAAACCTGAACAACAGTTTCAAATTTATTTCCATAGCCATGTTTCTTTGTCTGCTTCTGAATCTGCTTTCTTTTTATACATCCTAATATCCCAAATGTGTTATTATCCAATAGTATTTCTATATAGGGAAGACAAAGTGTATTTCCAGGAATGGAAAATTTAAACTCAGAATAACAGGAATTCACATCTTGGTGCCAGTTTATATAAGCACAATGGATTTGTGTTACAATGCTCATAATACATAAAACGAATCTGTCTGGAAATCAAAATGGTATGCTATCATTTGGTTAAATAGATCCATATGGTCAAATTCCTTTTTCAGTACTGAGACTTATATTTCAAAAACAGTATTCCAAGTAGTAAAAGTCAGTTGACTATGACCTAAACTTTTCTATAACTAATGCCCCGTGTTGCTTCCCAAGAAATATGAATAGAACTTATATTTACATTATGCAGGATGATTTCCATGAAGCAAGGCTTCTATTGTTGAGCAAACAAATTAATGAAGGTTGCAGAAATCAGAGGATTATTTAATTTGATTTCTATTATAAATGTTTTGAATGAATTAAACCTTGATGGTAACCTTATAATTACCACTGTTTATTCTTTTTCTGAATTAGGGTTTATAATAGTAGTTCCACTAAAAAGAATTCAGTTGGGTAAAAATAAATAAATCATTTGGAAGAAAATAAAGATTTCCAGGATTAGATTGAGAATGTTCAGCCACTAGTTCACTCTTCCAAAAAGGCTGATTAGTTTTGCTCTGGCTTAACATATATGAACTGGGTAAAGAGTTATTTCCTATTAGAGCTGATTTATACGGTTACGTTAGTGTATTATGATTGTGCTCTGAGTATATCTTTTTGAATTAAAGTAGTTATCCATAACCATAACTGAGACCACATTCACTTCATGGTGGCCATATGTTGGCATGCATAAGTGTTGTTTGAGCAGTGTAGTGTGACTGTAATAGTAGTAGCATCATGAGCTATTAGTAAAGATATTTTAGTATTCCAGGAGTGAAAAACTTGGACTTCCTGATATTATTGGAGTCCAGATATCAATCCAGCCAGCAGGATCATGATAAAAGTCAGGAATAA